TCCATATTTAAACCCTTTATTTTTGTTGATGATGTAAAATTAGTACCAAAAGTACAGTCTCCTTCTTTTGGCAATGATGATCCTGCTAAAAAGATACCTCGATTCCAGGAGAAACCTGATCGTAGGCATGAATTGTACAAGGCACATGAATGGGCCCGATCTCTCCTGGAGAATGATCAGGTAAGACCTATGGGACCTGGAATTAAAGAATTGAAGTAAATGTAGATTCTTAACTCCATAATTTAAATCAAAGTCACTCACTGAAAAACATTCTCTGAATATTCTTAGAATCCTTGCAAGTTCAACTTGAATAATGACGCCCTCTGAAGGACAAACTATTCTGCATAGTTTTTTTTGTTATCCAGTGAGCGTTGTTCTGCTCCATTATTTTTACAAAATGAAAAGTCAAACTGACAAGCTTATTATCTTGTTCAATCCCCACTGTGCATATAGTCTTTTTAGTGATTAGGACAGGTATTTATTGCATGACATTGGAAAGTGTTATTTCTTCTCACATAGCATTTTCAGTTAATTTTTTTTAAATTAACAGAAATGCACTAAATTGCAAAACTGCAAGACTTGCAAAACTGTCACATGCAAATTATTCCTTTGTGAAAAACACCTTTCCAAAATATGTAGTTCTTAATCCAGCATCTAATTTAAATTACAACACTCCTGCCACCATCCCAATTTTGATACCATGTTGCACTAGCATGCCAGTCATGCTTTTATTGGTATTTCAGGCAATTTGTGGAACACCCTCACATAGTTGTGTTATACTTCCACAGAGGACTTGCTTTCTGCAATTTTCCTCTGTGTGTATTTGCATGGGTCAGTCTTGTAAAGATAATAACAGCATTCATACTTATCAATGATCAATTAAGGAAACTATGATTACCTTTTCTAGTACAACCTTTATTTAAATGCAGTTTTGGCGAGATACCATTTTTAACCCCTTGGGATGGTGTAATTGAAAATCTGTGGCCTCTGTGGTAACACTGACTCAATGTGTAGCTGACTCTTATATCATTATGCAAGATGCTGATTTAGTGAAGACCTAGAAGAGGCATCTTAGCATCTTGTGAATTCTTGCCTATTAAAGTCCACAGAGCATGACACCAATAGTTGTGGTAAAGAAGGAAATGTAGTTTTTAGTCAGGCTTCATGCTATAAAAGCTGCTCACCTGCGAGTCTAAACCTTAGCTGAGGTGCTCTGCTCTTTCTGGACAAAATGCTGGTATAAATCCTGGAAAGCTCAGAACCATCACTCAGTTAGAATGACTTTTTTTTTTTTTTTCTGGAATTCAACTTTGAAAGCTGCAAGCAAAACAAACAGCATTTCTCCATTAAAAAAAAAAAAAAAAGAAAAAAAAAGAGGAAAACGTAGAATTTAAATAATATCTGGATAAAACAAAATGATACCTTTTCCAGGAGTGAATTTACTTGAAACATGAATCTCCTACAAACATGGAGAGCAGTAAGTCAGAATGGTACACAAAGCCTTCCCTGGGATGTCTTGATACTGTTACATGACACATCATTTCAGATCTATTCATCATTGTACAGGTGTTGATTTCAGGGATACACATATAAATACCACCATCTGTACAATTCTTAGGGCTTCTAGACTTCTCATGTAGTTCTGTTTGTGGGTTTACAGGCTTAAGAATTTGCTTTACCTCTTTGTCATATGTACAACAAGCATTGTACCATTTTCCTCTATCCATCTTACACCATGTTCCTCCTTTGATTTAAACTTAGCAACTCCTTCTTTGTCATTTTTCTTAATGCACAAAGTATCCAGCACTGTTCCTTTTAGTCTTTGGGCATCCAAAAAAGCTAATAATAGAAACAGTTTGTACTTAAAAAGGCTTTCTAATTTTTAAAAATATTTGAAAATATCTCAGTAACAGAAGAGAGCAATAAAATGCTTTAATGAGCCTGTTTGCTGGTTAATTGAGTTTCATTGTTTCATGCCTTTAGGATAAAGGTCAGAAACTGATGAGGATTATGTTAGACCTTGAAAAACAAGGTTTAGAAGCAATGGAAGATATCCTTTCTCGTACAGAGATTCTGGATCCTGCTGAAGTAGTGGATCTTTTCTATGACTGTGTTGACACAGAACTAAAGTTCTTCAAATAAAGTAAGCAAACATTTTAATTCTTTAGATACTAAGTTTTTGGTACCAGAGAAATACTGGATCCAATTTTGCATCTCCTCCTTCTCTTTTATAATAATCTAAGGGTGTTCAGAATCGGATCCAAAGCCACCTTTCTAGCTGCTCAAATTGTCTCCAAAGTCCCTTTTCCCTATGCTGCATTGCAGAGAACTGTTTTTTCAATTTCACTCTTGCTTGGAATGGATTTTCAACAAATTTTATCTCATTTCAGCTATGGTGGCTATTGTTAACCTTTTCACTGGAAGACTGCAATGTTCTTCAAGCCTTGAAAGAAAGTCTTCACACTTGTGAATTTGCAGGAAAAAAACATTTCTAGAGGAAAAAATGTTACTTGCTAGCTGTATCCAGTTAACAAATTGCTTTCCTTTGTCCAATCTTGTGGTGTTTCTGTTTGTGTATGTATATAGTGAAAGGAGAAAGTCACTGACTGGTCCAATTACTGTGTGCATGCTGGCTAATTTAGTACAGAATGTTTAAATGTGTATGTTGGGCAACCAATTAAAGCAAAGATTAACTTCATCAGGCTAACTTCCATATCGTTTTTGAAAGCAATCTGTTTTTCCCTCCATTGCTCAGGACTAGGCTTGCAGCAAAGCTGACTTGCATTTTTCTCTTCTTGCTAATTCATACAGAGAATGGTGGAGTTGAAATCCTGGTTTTGCAGGCAGGCAGGAGGGTAAGTCCTGGTTCTCGACCTTGTGCTGGCCTCAAATGGGCGTATCTGATTACAGGAATTCAGCACCTGACATAATGCCTGTACAAATTATCAGAATCAAGTCCCCCAGGTTAAGTTTTGCCTTCACTTAGCTTAGGGCACCTGGCTGCTGCCCTAGTACTGAGTACTGAAATGCAGAGCCAGCCTGGATGCCAAGACATCTACACATATTCTATTGGCTCCTAAGATGTAATTAATAAGGTGTTGAATTTATATGCAAGCTACAAATTTGGAATGTTTTGAAGGAATAGATGATGAGCATTGATCAATACCGGGCTGTTCTCCATCTTTCTGCTTTTGTACTGCTGAACAGTTCCTGGTTATCTCTGTGGTGAGATACATGGCTGATGAATCCATGTAAGTACCAGTGAGTTACTGGTAGGTGTGGCAGTCCAACTTTTTAGGCTTAGAAATGGCTGTCTTATGCTTCCTTACATTAAGTGCAGTTCTGCAGCATACTTCCCTTCCTCGACAGTCCTACAGGCAGACCTGCTTTTCATGTATTTTCTTCTTGTGGAAGTGAAATAGGACAAACACTTTGAGAATTAAACCAGTAAACACTGCTTCCCGTGTCTGATGAAGATGTTTGGGTTTTTGTTTAAACAGGAGGTTCAGACAAGTCCATGTCTTTAATAAGTGGAAGTTAAAATCCTTCACTGTTCAGGAAAGTGGATGCTGAAGAACCATGGACTTCTGTGTTGAGGAAGCAAAAGCTCCTTAGAAGGCAGCAACACCTCAACTTGAAACTGTAAGAGTTGTGCATCAGGGAAATAGTCATTACCATATTGGTGCACTGCATTCTCAGGATTTTTTAAATGAAATTGTTCTATTCAGACTCATTACTTTGATATTGCCTTACATGACAACTGGCAATTGGACAAGAAAACATTGGGCCTTTTTGCTTGCAGAAAACAAGCATGAAGATATTTTTTCTTAAGTCCTACCTACTAATCTCCCATTCACAATACAGTCCTCCCATGCTCTCTATTACAGGACCAACTCCTATGCTTAGTTATTCTGAAAGTGGAGACAAGGGAAGGAGAAAATTCACAAGTAAACCCTGAAACTTAGCTGCTCTCTACCGTAGCCAGGGTAGGGACTGACTACAAGGAGCACACTTCATTTTAGAGGGTATTGTGCTGGATGAAACTCTCTGAAAGAGAAGTGTGCTTTTGCCAGCTGCCTGTAAGTAAAGTAAATGGATTTCCCATGGAATCACTTCTGGAATGAAAGGATACTTTGAATAAAAATATTCCTAATCAGACTACACTTAACACACACCATGGTGAATTTTAAAGCTGCCTCTGCTTCTGTGAGTTGTTGCACCCAGCTGTTGGTGGATGTTGTGAACAAGGGGAGAACAGGGATAAAATGACTGCCCCAGTCAGAGGGTCACTTCACACAGCTATTTTCCACAACTTGGATTTCTGACATTTGAGAGTTGGGAGGGAGGCAAGATGAAAGGTATTCCTGCTAAAAACGTAATATATCTTATTTGCCTGTTTTTTTAAGACAGAAGAAACTGACATTTGCACTTATGTTGTTGTGGGAGTTTCTGTCCTTGGAAGTGCTTATATGACAGAACTAATAAATTGTTTTGAGCACAGAGATCCAGGTGGTAATTTTCTAACACTGTGTTGCTTTTGCTTCAGTGGTGTAGGGCTTTAAAAAAAAATATACTGTGTTACAGCAACATAGTTGGGGGCAATCACGAAAAACCAGAGCAACCCCACGGTCTTAAAATTTCAGTGGTCTTAAGCACAGCTGTGGCTCAATAGGACTTGTGGGACCAACTGCTGTAGAGTAGCAGTCAGTTTTGATTCTTTGTATCTCCAGGTAAGAGCAACTCCAGAAGCTTCAATGGATCTTGAATGATAAAAATATGGAAATAGCATTTCACCAATGCTTGCAAATATGCACAGGATTTCTGATGTAATCCCTGAAGGATGTTGCTTGCTTCTAGAATACCTGAAGCATAATAAAAATGGAGTAAAGTTTTTTTTCTCCTTTAAATGTCTTCTGGCAGATCGTCTAGCATTAAATAGTTTTCAAATCCTTATGAAGTTACTTACTACAGAACAGCACACAAGTTTCAGAACAAATGAGAACCAACAAAACGTCACTTTTAATAGTACTATAACAAAATAGTCTTTAAAGCACTAATAAACTTTTACAGTTGTTTGAGAAGCAATGTATATGCAGACCCCTGCTTATTACTAAATTCATGCATATTTATCAAGTAACTACAATAATGACAGTGACAGTATTGGTCAAAGAATTACCAATTTTTTTTTTTTTCCCATGATGTACAGAAGGTTATCATAATAGGCTAGAAAAAGACTAATGCTGCTTTCTTAGAGTCCTACAGGTGAAGTTACTTTTTACACCATCTCACACACCATGAACCTATGTGTGTGGAAATAAAGTTACAGTACAACTGAGCTGCTACAAGAGAAAAGCAGAGATATATAAAGCTGCAGTTACCTGTCTTTTCCATCATCTGTGATCTATAACATTATTACAGCTGTAACTGAGGGGAACCGGTGGCAATTATATAAATTATTGCCATAACTGCAAATAACCTGGCTGTTGGAACCAGACTCACCCTGGAACAGCAGTGTCCTTTCTCAGGTTGGTGAATCATGGAATCATTTAGGTTGGAAAAGAACTTTGAGGTCATCAAGTCCAACTATTAACCCAGCACTGCCAAATCCACCACTAAACCATGTCCCCAAGTGCCACATCTACAGATCTTTTAAATGCCTCCACATATTTAAGTGGTGACTCCAGCATTTCCCTGGGAGGCCTGTTCCAACGCCTGACCACCCTTTCAGTGAAGTAGTTTTTCCTAATATCCAATCTAAACCTCCCCTGGCACAGCTTGAGGCCATTTCCTCTTGTCCTGTCCTGGGAGATGTGACTGACCCCCAACATCACTACAGCCTCCTTTCAGGTTATAGCACTAAGGTCTTCCCTGAGCCTCAAGTCAGGATACTATTGGCCTTCTTGGCCACCTGGGCACACTGCTGGCTCATGTTCAGCCGGCTCTCAATGAGCACCCCCTGGTCCTTTAGTGCCAGGCAGCTTTCCAGCCACTCTGCTCCAAGCCTGTAGTGTTGCATGGCGTTATTGTGACTCAGGTACAGGAAGTCAGAAAAGCTGTAGAAGGGGGAATCAGTGTTTGAGGTTGAAAGGGATGGCTGGAGGTCATCTGGTCCAACTCCCTTGGCTCTAGTAGGGTCAGCTAGTGCCAGTTGCCCAGGACCAAGTACAGATGGTTTTCGAGTATCTTTAGGAAGTTAGGCTCTACAATGTCACTGGGTAACCTGTGCCAGTGCTCAGTCACCTTCACAATCAAAAAATGTTTCCTGATGTTGAGACAGAGCCTCCTCTGTTGCAGTTGGTGCCCACTGCCTCTGGTCCTGTCACTGGGCATCACTGAAAAGAGACTGGCTCCATCTTTAAACCCTCCCTTCAGGTATTTATACACATTGAAGAGGTCCCCTCTGAGCCTTCTCTTTTCTAGGCTGAACAGCCCCAGCTTTCCTACCCTTTCCATAGGAGAGATGCTCCAGTCCTTTTATCACCTTTGCAGCCTGTTGTAGGACTCTCACTAGTATGGTCATGTCTCCCTTGCACTGGCAAGCCAGAAGTTGGACACAGCACTCCAGGTGTGGCCTCACCAGTGCTGAATGGAGTGGAAGGATCACCTCCCTCGACCTGGCACCACTCCTGCTAATGTGGTGAAATGCACAGGAAGAAGAGTAATTCTTGTGAGAAACAGACATCTTAGGACGAGATCTGAACATCTGTGATCCAAGGGCCTTACCCCTGGCTGAATATTAAAAGCAGATGAAGTCTTGTCTACTGCTAGGTTGTTACTTTTCCCAGCCAACTCTGTTCAAGACAACCACTTTGGGGACTGCTTGTTCCAAGCAGTGTGATGTGTTTTGGACAATGAATCCTCACCGTGGGTGAACAACAGTAGTTCGAGTTGCCTGTTTAAATTGTGGGTTTTGGACCTCTCATCCAAAGGTCTCATAATTGCTGGGTAAAGGCAATCTCTCACAGAAATGCAACAGTAAATATCCACTTTCCCAGCAGGAAAAGACAGGACACATGCCCTTACGTACATACATCGTGGCATATGTATTCACACACTCTTTTTTTTTTTTTTTTTTTTTTTTTTGCTTACAATATAGCAACTTTCTTTTCCTCTACTTTGGAGAAGTTCTGTCATCTTTGTCAAGTCCATGACCACCCTACCCAGGCTGGTCTTCTTCAGACACTATCCTATAAGGATCTGTAATCAGTAGGAGGTAGGCTCAACAGCAGCCACAGCTCCTTGTCATCTCCTCTTCATGCTTGATGAGAGAAGGATTGTGGGCCCGTCCCTTCATGAAAGTGACATCCTGCTGCAGTCTGAGGATAGGCAGAATAGAAGCGAAGGAACATAGAAACAGACTAAAGGTAGTGCATTAGTGTGACAGTTCATTGAAAAAAATGTCTGAATAATAACTGGAGAATTTCCAAAATACTTAAAAATTACGATGAAAGGGGAAAAAAGAAATATAGGCATGCAATGCAAAATGTTTGAGATAACACTGTCAGCATGATAAGAATGAGAATTGTTTCAACACTACAAAGAATTTAAATTTTATGCTGCTTTGCTTAAAAAATATCCACCTATTTACAATAATTTAAAAGCCTGTACTAAAATTCCTGTAGTATGTAGGCCAGCTAAAAAGGTATAATTTACACAATTTTTCCAGTTTATAGAAATGTTTACATTGCAGTACATGTGACTCAAATACAATCGCTATCACTGCAGTGGGGACCCCTTCTGTTTTATATATTATCGTGATGTTCTTTTTTAATACTCTTCCAGAGAGCATCAGTAGACTCTTCTCATCTCACATGTGTTCTTAATGGAGGATTTTTAGAAGGATCTGTAAATAGATAAGGCAGATTTAATCAGAGGAGATAAGATATATTTTTTTAATAAGTGTTTTGGATGCAGTTATACATCAGGAATGCTGCATTTATCTGCTACCGCAATGTGATATCTATTTATCATCTATCTATTTATCTATATATATACAGACACAAACATACTGCTCATGCTCTGTAGCCCTTCAGTAAAAAGTCTTTGATCAGATCATACATCAGACAATTTAGACTGACTGAGGATGTCAAGTCATGCAAAATACCTTAGCACAGAAACAAACAATAGGTTAATTAAAAGTTGGAGATAAATAGTTGATCTAATCATACAGAAGACTGGGGTTTATAAAAAGCAGAATATGGGCATGAGATCTTTCAGCATCTTCAACTACCCATTGTCAAAGCTGGATAGGTGAACTTCTGCTCTTACAACAGTGACCTGGTGCCATGTTTGTGAGTTATAGGGGGAGAAGTAAAAAACAAGGTTTAGCCATTTATCACTTTCCTGACGAGGTTCAGGTACTAAGTCCCTTTGTTACTCAGGTGTGTAAAACACCATGTATAGGATTTAAATCAAAACACACGATGGAAGACATGGATCGAGTCACTTTCTTTTTGTGATTTCACAAGTTAATGAACCAAAAACCCAACCCAGTAGATGGCCAAGTCTGTTTTACAGCATCACTGTAACATCAAGGGCTTTGCAAATTCAGCAGTCTAAAAAATAGAGGCTGCCTGTCCAGCCACATCTTATTTTTAGCTACTAAGTCTTTAAAGTAATTAATTAAGTGCTTTTCATTATATCTTTGGTCCCTGTTGCCACTGTGACAAATCCCATTTCTCTCTGTGCCTATGCTAGCAGCCCAGTTACTTTAATGCTGGTTCTGTTCTTTATTTTCCCTGCCCATTTATAATCCTCTTGATAATTATCGGATCTTTTCATGTTTACACACTTACCTCTAGCTATCTTGCTAGGATATATTTTCTGAAATGGCTTGAATTCATCAGGTGGGGGAAAATCTTCCACAGAATGGAAAGTAAATTTAGATTCAAAGTCATCTGGAAAGTTTCAGGAAGTAAACATTAGTTGCTGTTAGAGAGAAACTTAAAAAAAAAAAAAAAAAAACAAAACAACAAAACCCAACAATGTTGCTGCAAGTAATTTCAATTAAAAATGCTGACTTGTCTTCTCCTGGAACTCATTCCATATAAACCACTCTGATGAGTACTTCTGTGAGCCATCCAGATTTTCTGCCTTAATTGCAGTCACTGCCTGCTACTAAAACTGAAGTTAAGCTTCTGTCTTCTGTTCCAGTTTTGTGCATGGATGGTATTGCAGTAATAGAGGTATTCCTTGGTGGGTTTTAAGCCACTTAGCTATAAACAAGAATGAATGGCCAATTCATCAGACCACAAAAATAAGTCTTAGTGGTCTTTGCTCTGTAGGATTGAAGCTACTAAATGTCCATGATCTGGTTTTAAGAACGGTAATATAAGCACACTGCTGGAACTTTTCATATTCTTAAATAATTTTGCAAGAGATATGTGCTTTTCTTTTCTACTGACTGATTCTAACCCTTTGTGGAAAAGCCTTAATTTTCTACCATTGTATAAGGTTGTACAAAAATGGTTTTATTACACAACCCTCTTATTGCTAGGAGAAAGTCTCAAGTGAGCTTTTGAGGTGTGAGACACACACAGGCTTTTTCACTAAAATTATTAACTAAGGCTAAGAGATCTAATTTAGATGATATTACCAAGGATGTGCATATTTCCATTTTTGAGTGGTGGGTAGGGGTCAAGAGCTGTAGCCCAGGTTGAGACTCCAGACTTGCTTGTGAGTTCAGTTGTTGGGGATCTTGCTGGTGGCTGTGGAGGTGTGACCAGCTTCCCAGCACCGGTTCCTTAAAAAGAAGCGGGACACCAGCACATAAACATCATCATGGCTTATGCCTGACAGTAAACCTTGCAAAAAGTGGAGGGAGTGTTGAAGGAATGCAGTATTTGGAGCAAACACACCAAGCTTCATAGCTGCTGTTTGTCAAGCCTGCCCATGGACTTATAGTATTAAGTATTACATTTAAGTCAATATCAGAGTTGGCTCAGGCTTTCCATTTCTAGTTCTAGGGAAAGTGTGACATTCTGAAGTGTGGTTTTGTCTCAGTCTGGAAGGGACACAAGAACAAGCAGTTTCTTTAAGAAAAGAAAATCAACAAAACAACCAAACTAGATAGTATGTCTAAAAGAAAATAATTTCCTGACACTTTGGCACTTATGCAGTGGAATTACCATTAGGCTTCTGCATTTCACTGAGGAGCTGCAAGTGCTGTCGAAGTTTACGTTGAGGCAAACCTATGACCAGAACTGTGTAAGAGGGAGGGAGCCCTAGGCCTCCAAATTAGCAGCCCCTCAAAACTGCTGCTTCTTCTAGACAAGCAAGAGAAAGGCAGGAAAATTTTATGGAAACTGCAAAAGTTGAAACACCGTGAGAAATGGGAGTCTTGATGAAGTAACAGTCCTTCAGGCAGTTCTGAGCAGCATTAATCACCATCACAGAGCACCTGATCTGCTGTACTTACACGGCCTTTCCCGTGGCTCTCAATGGAACCAGTAATCTTTCTCCTGACATGTGGCTGCTAAAATACAGGGTACAGAACATTCTCTTCAAAGGTTCCTTATTAAGTAGCTGTCTCCATTTCTCAAACCCATACAGATCTAGGCTCATCTTTTTTTATCATCTTCATGACATCAGAGAAATCCAATAACAGTTCCTTCTACCATCCTCTCAAGGAAACACTGGCTAACACCCGACTTCCCAAGTAGTCAGAGAAACCTTTGGCTCTTCCACCTTGATCATGGGAACAGCAGGGCTGCACCTAGATTTGCTTTTGCTCATCTATGGCTGTAGCTGCCCCATCTTTGTTTAATTATCTTTTATAAATCTTGCCAGCTGTTGCCAATATTGCTCCTGCATGGGTACAGCTGTAGAGGGATGTCCTGCGTTAGCTGGCACACGAGCAGCCACCATCCTGGCACACGCCATGGTGTGTACTGTGCTGCCATACCTGAGCCTGTCAGGATACCACTCGTGTGGCTGGAGACACACCAAAAGCAAGAAGCAACTCAGTGGTCCTAAAACTTTGGATCAGTATGTCACTTCCAAGAATTGCAGACTGAATTATAAGATGTGAGTGCCCAGTGCTAAGAACAGCCTGACAGCTCAAAAAGCCTCGTGTTTTGGGTGTTCATGACATGCTGTGTAACCTGCAGGTTATTCCTCCCATGTGTGCTCTTCACTCCCACCCCGCCGAGCCCTCCAGTCACCAGTGCAATAGAATGGTTTGGGATGATAGATGATCTAGTTCTTCAAGGTCCAACACGAACCACTGTGTGATTTCTCCCAGTTTTGCCAAAGGGAGCAAAAAGCCTCCCTCCTTCTGACTTGCTGCTCTCACCTGCTCCTCGGCCGGGTCTCTTCTTCCTGGTCTCTGCCGCGGCTGCGGGCTGAGGCTGGCCGGGGGTGGGTGGGAGCGGCAGCGACTGGATGCTGCTTGGCTTGTGGAACTGCGACAGCAAGTGGGGAGACTTGGGGGGCAGCGGAGGGGGCACGTCAGCACCGCTAAAGGCTGCGGAGGGAGGAAAGGAGAGCCTGTTCGAGGGCAGGGGGTGGCCGTGGGGCGGTGGAGGAGGGGGAGGCGGCGTGGGAAGGGGACAGTCCCTCCCTTCGGCCGGAGGGGCGGCAGCCGCGGGGACATCGGCAGTCCTGGCCGGCAGCCCGCAGGGGGACGAGGGGCAGGGGAGGGAGGAGGAGGAGGAGGAGGAGGGCGGCTGGGGCGGGTGTGAAGCGCCTGCTGGAAACTTGGCGGGTTTGTCAGCCTGGGGAGGAGGGAGCGGGGGCGGAGGAGCCGCGCCGGGCGTCACCCCCTTGGGAGGGCGATCGGCCGGAGGGGGCAGGGGGGGAGGAGGAGGGAAAGTGAGGGAAGGTTTGCTGGAAGCGGGAGGCGGTGGAGGCGGGGCGGGCAGGCTGGGCCGCCCGGGGCCGGCTGCGGGTGCCGCTGCGGGTCGGGAGGTGTTGGGAAGCTCTGGTGGCACAGCTGCCCTTGGAGCTTCGGCTGGGTGCGAGGGGTTACTGCTCGGCTTGGCAGCGCCGCTGTTCGGTGGGGCGGAGGGTTTGGGGGCTGCTGCTCGGACTCCGGAAAGCTGCCCAGGCCTCCCTGCTGAAAACAGGGATGTGTCACACGTTATACTCCAGGACCGCGTCCCCACTCATCAGACTAAACAGGGCAAAGAGCAAGCTCTGCATCTTCCTCTCCCCGGTGCATACCCTAAGGCGTTAAACTAATTCTCCCGAAACATCTTGTATCCAACGGTTGCCCTCCTAATGGGGCTTAGGAGGTGACATACTGCAATTGGCACAAGGATTCTGCTTAGTTATGTGATGAACTGCTGAAAGACCCTGGCCCCTCCCTGTTCTTCAGTTTCTGCAGAATGAAACAGTTTAAGGAGAAGGTGCTTTTCTGCAGAGATCTGGGGTCCTTCACACCAGCCTCATCTGTCTAGTACAGCCAGCTGAGCATCGTTGAGTCCTGGTGAAAAGGTAGTTTGACACTCGTCAAATTGCATCCTTGAAGTTAAGTGATTGCTTAGAACTAAAAAATTCACACAAACTTTACATAAATCTCAACCCCATGCATAAAAGCCAAGCTCTTAGAAGCAATGCCTCAAAGGCTTTCCAGGAGGCACAGGTGCAAATATTTTCTTTTCAACAGCAAATACCCAAAGACTGTCGATTCTACAAAATGTGTTTTCCTGAGTAAATGTCAAGGATTTATCACAAAGCAAGATGTCAAAAAAGGCATCTCATTCTATGCTCACACAGTCTGCTAAGCATGGCCATAGTTTTAAGAACAACTCAAAGTAGCTGCTGCAGATGAAGCTATGTGAGGAAGCCCTATCACATGCAGTGCTGGGCATCTTGGGCTTACCTTCCAGGAGTATAAACCCTGCAGGTAGAACCAAGGTCTTTCCCTGCAAAAGCCTGCTTTGCTCTGTGCTGCCTGATCAGGCACCAGCTGCCCAAGAGCACCAGAGGTCATCACTGTGACTCTAACAGTCACCCCTCATTGATGCTGGCACTTCTTGAGGGGAAAGGAACAGTAGGGCTCCTGCATTTAACTTCCTCCTGTCATTGTGAAGCAACAAAACCCTTTTTCGGGTCAATAAATAACCTTGCTGGATCAAAACTTTACTTTATAAAGTCCAGAGGGCAAAAATCTTAAATAAGAATCTTTAAAGTAACACCCAAGACTGTAATACCATAGAAATACATGTTAATAGAGGGAAGGAAATATGACTTTGCCATTTGTGCTGAACTGATAAACTCAGATTTCAATACTCTGAGGCACAATTAGAAGTTTTCATTAAAATAATGTAAAAAGCTCGGTTAAAGAGATCTATTCAATCTCCTTCCTACCCAGTGTGCAGAAAGCTTTTTATTTACATTTTAACAAATAAGGCACATGAGATCTAGAAAAACAGCTTCAAGCATGTTACTAATTGAGCCCTCCATGGTCACATGATGATCTAAGGATTCAGAAAAAAAATCCAATAAAAATCAATCACTAAAGCTAACCTCGAAGTGTTTTTATCCCAGATCACTGCTCCTGTCAGCTATGCTTTCATACAAATGAAGTCCTTACCTGTCATGTCCCTCTGGCCTGCTGGTCTGAGAACAGGAAAGCCACCAGCAAATAAACCTCCCAGAGGCTGCTGAGAGCCACCTTTATTGACAGCTGGATTAACTCCATCTCTGTTAGCTCCTTTGGGTTCTGTTAAAAAGAACCAAAACACAGGGTATATCAGAAAATCATGTCATCCTTGCCCTGATACTGCTAAGGTTTGGCACCAACAAACAGCCAAGGCCGGACTTTTCCCTCTACTGTTACTACAATAACTGCCATCACTCTCGGACCTGTAACTTGGAGCACAGCACCCTCTGGTGCTCTTTAGTCTCACATTAATCGTGACACCAAGATGAAGTTGTGTTAGGCCTAACATTAAATTTATGTTTCCAAATTTTTTTGGCATTTTTTGTTCTTTTAATCTAGTAAAGAACAATTCTTCTGCTAGAGCCAACAATTGTTCATTAATTATTTTATTAAGAAACTCTCAAGGATTTTTTTTAACCATGATTTTTTATTTTTTTTGGACAAGGAATGCCTGTTAAGGAGATATCCAGTCACAGACTTATCATGAAATGTTAATAGTTACTGATCTCAGAGCAGGATGCAAGCTTAGAGAGTGTCCCCTCTCCGCATCCTAAGGCCATATAAAGATACAGATTACTGCTGAACTTCAAACCTGCCCTTCAGTTTGAAACTGTTCAGGGGGATCTCCACCCGCACCTGAGGCCTCAGTGAAGCTCACTCAGGCCTTGCTGAGGAGCACATACTTACTTTCAATCTGTGGGGCACTGCGGTCATTGATTTGAGTCACTTTTCTTAAGCGAGTTCCCTGCTGGATATCAGCCAAGAGCGCGCTTCGTGCTTTCTGATCTTCCTTCCGCAGTTTTGGCACTTCTGAACTAGACTGTTGACAGTAAGAGCATTAAATAGGAGGTGCAGACAAAAATTCAAGCTTAGAAAGGATACACAGGCAAACACGGGATAGAAGATTTAAAATAAACCCCCCTTGGCAGCTGGCACTTCAAAGCCTTTGAGTTCAGTCAACAAAAACAGCATTCACTTGTGCAGGAGGTAAGAAAGCTGAAAGGTTAAATATAACACAAATCTAATACTAACGGAGCTAATACTGTTGATATTAGAGGCCATGCTTAAATGAAATGTGACCTCCTACTTGACCATTTATGGCCTCTGTCCTACAACTCCAGCTCTGACTAGCTCTCTCAGCCTTTTTCAAGCTATTTACAATGCTTTACAACAGAGATTTTATATGCCACATTAGAATAAATATGTTTTATCCACTTAGGATAGCCTTAGGGAAAAAAGACAGATTAATGCATACTGCATTTATATTTAAATGTGATCATTAATTAATTGAGAATGTCTTTCTGTATTGGAGATTCACACCACCTTGAGTAGACTGCCTTTAGAACAATATAATTATATTGTAGTAACTTTTCTGCCCTAACCAAGCTCCACAGATGTAAAGTCAAGTTGCAGTTTAAAGTTTTATTACAAAACTTTAATATTCTTTATCCTTATTTCATCAAGTTTCTTGTTACTAAAAAGAAAATAAACCAGATCTTTAAAAAATTGGGATGTTTCACTTTCTTGAAGCAGATATTAACCAGCAAAGCTGTTATTTCTAAACCTATCGTGGTTGACAGAGTGGTCTAGCAAAGGGGAATCTTCACCTCAGATAAGCAGTGAGCTGCTTGCTACCAAAATTCCCAGAGGTTAGCTAACTTCCTAAAGAGAATGAATACCAGAAATGTTTCCATATTCCTTAATTTTAGCATCATAGCCCTAATAAAGCAGAACAATACTATCACACTTTAAAACAAACAAACAAACAAAAAAACCCCAGCTTGGTAATGGCATTCTGAGAGCAAAACAGAAACTTGGAAACACTTAACCAGCTGCTGAATTAATGAAGTGTCTAACTGGCTAATCCCAAATGAAGTATTCTACCTGTACGATATCGTTCGTGGTTATTTTTGTACTTGCTAAAAACAAACAAACAAACAAACAACAAATCGAAACCCGAGCAAGCAGGATTTGCCACGCCCCGCTAGATGGGGCTGCAGACCGCCGCTAAACGCCGCCGCATTCCCGAGCCGTGATGTAAAACCGCGGAATTACAACCTGACTGATACGTAACCATGTGTTATTTAAAAATATTAGTAAAATCCCCGCTCTGTTACATAGTTTCCTCCTTTGAAACAGCGCTGGCTGCCCTTGTACTTTCAGGACAGCGCGTTCCGCAGCCCATTAAGATGCCCCAGAAGAGCGGCCCGTGTCAGCCATGTACTAGCCAGAAACTGATTCCACTCTCATTCTCTGGAAGCTAATAATACTTACTTTGAAAAATGGAAATACCATAACTGCAACAAGGGTGATTCCCTTCCTCACAAAAGCTCTTTATCAGTATCTTCAACTTCACGCCTATCTACCACCATTAATGACTTTGCTGAAGCAGGACAAGCAGGATCTAGAGGGATCTGACCAAGACCTATGTTTAAAATTAGATCCAGCAGCTGTCTTTTCGTTTCCAGGTTCAAGTGTCCATATATTATGCCAGCTGTCCACTTCACCTCCCTGATCTACTTCTCTGAGCAAACAGACTTTTGGAATACAAAGTCTTGATATCCAAATAGTTACTAGGCTATAAAATAGCCCACTTGTGGCAACTTACAATTTGAAAGTGACCCATGACTTGGTATCAATTTGACATGGTTAAGACATTAATTGTTTCACAATTTGTAGCACAAAAAATCTGGAATACTATTCTGCTGGTGCATAATGCAGCGTAACAAGCTGCCTTTCTCTTGCAATAGATCCCCTTACTCCAAGCATGACTCCATCCTATGCCCCAGCTGTTTCTTCTTGCTCCTTATGAAGGTAAGAGATAGAATCTTGCACGGCCAGCCTGGTGGACTCGGGTGATTGATTAACTGCCGAGTAGCTCAATACGGATTCTCTTCTTTCATTACGAAGTCAAGGTGGCCTGGGGTGCAGTGTTGCCTGGTTGCGCAGTGGTCAGAGCCCCTTTGGATTTCTTGCTTGCTGCCTGCACTCCCGAGGAAGTGACAATCCTTGTCAAAAATCGTTTCACCAGGTAAGCATCTCACTCATTCACCTACAGGTGCCCTCTGTTTGCGCATTTCTGGTTTTACCATACTGCTCTTTGATACACAATCAGAAAGGAACCTTTCTTTCTCTGATGAAAAAATAAATGTAGGATTCATGCTCATGTTGTGCTTTCAATCCCCAGCACCAGAACAGACAATAAACATGTAAGTTCTCCATCAAGAGAAAAACAGAAAAAAGAACTCCTATGGCAGTCAAATCTGCTGTCCCTATCACATGCAATAGAAGTGTTTCAGCAGGAAGACAAATTTACTTTGAGAGGAAAAACAGCTGCAAGACAAAAGATGTAATTCTTAGTCTACTTTCTACCCCACCATCTGCAGGGCAGCCTCATTTATTTACAAAAAGAGAAACATCTCAGTATTTCAATGAAAATCAGAAAGGAACAGGAGAAGAATGTGAAGATGTCTTTTTTTATCAGATGCCAGAGTTGCCTCAGGTAACACAGAGTGAAATTAAATTCCATACCTTTACTTACATGAATTGGTAAGAGAACGGTGGGTTCTCATTACCTTAGCAACCACTAGGTTATTCTGCTACTATTTCAGACATGAAGAACGTCATGTTCAATATGTACTTAGAAACAGAACTGAACAAACCACGCATGTAAATTGCCTGAACATAAGAGAACTACTTCCTTTTCATCTCACCCAACTCCACTACGCTTTGTCTTTGGTGGCCTGAATTACACACTCAGCTATGCCATTCAATAAAGTATAGGATCAATGCTTGGGCTATCTGTCAGGTCTCCAAAGTACCTGCAAACAGGAAAATACCATCAAATCACAATATTTAGAGTGATGTTTCAGAGTGTAAATCCCAATGATTTTTTCCATCATTCCAATGATGGAAATACACATTTCAAAATTTGGAGCTGATAACTTAGACTGGCAAAGATATGAATAAGGACAGCACAGTTATACAGAGAAATCCAAACCACTCCAGCTTGAGGCCATTTGAAAGGAACAACAAACCAAAATATGCTCCTCCACTGCTGGGACAGGGTGAGTGGGGCAGGTGGGGAAGAAAAGAAATAATAAAAAAGAAAATAACACAATATACAAATGTCAAATGTAAAACTGAAAATGACTGGATGACAAGTTCTAGCCATATCTCTGAAATGGAAGCCTTCATCCTGAGTGCCACAAGCCTGAACCTGGCAGGGAGCTCCAGTAGTGAGCCTGTTTGAGCAAGTGTGGCAAGGAGGGGTAGCACACTCCTCCAATATATCTCATCCTTTCAGAGAAAGCAGTGTGAACAAAAATGGAATTACAAGTTTAGTTCTGGTCTACAGGTCTTTAAAATTACATTGTGAAATCCTGGAGATGCACAAGGAAGTGCTAAAGCGGTATTCAAAACCCTGGAGGCAGCAGCTCAGATTTTAGCAGCCCTGAAGTCTATCTGAGGGGTGGTCTGCCTGCACAACACAACCTGTACAGGGGGAGGGTGGTGAGGACTCAGGCAGCAGAGGCAGATATTTGGTGAATTAATGCAAGATGCAACCAGACAAGCTGCAGATGGCAGCAGAATATCTATCTCCTGATTTTCAGATCAAAGCTGGATCCTCTCTGGCAGAAATGCTTTTTGTGAAGCACAAGCCACTGGGCCCTGTACAGGTGTTGCTGATGTGCAGTACCCTGCAGTGGGGGTGGAGAGGTGGGAGTCACAGCCAGTTGTTTGTAACAGCTTCTTTCAGTCTGGAGATCTGTGAAAATGGATCGTTTCGTTTAGGAAAACAACTCTGTATTTTTACACTGTATGGACCAGTCAAGATTTGGCCCTGAATAACCACAGTCTTAACACCCTAAATTGGATTGTATCAGACAAATTAAGAACTGAGAGTCTTTTCTAAGGAAAATTGACTGAAATCCATGGCAATGAGCTCCATGTCTGGGTACACTCTGCTGTGCTACTTGTGTCACATTCAGAATGTCACATCTTGCAAGACAGATGGGAGCATTGACCTACCCTCTGGTCTCCTACAATACTTAAAATATTTAAGAGGTATATGAGCTCAGATACTAAAATGCTTAATAAAGGAGACACTAGCCATTTAAAAAAAAATTATACTAGCACTAAGTATTATCTCCAGATTTTAAAGAGTACCTCTGCACACAGAAAAGGGTAAATCCTCTGGACTCCGGGCAGGTACTTCAGATCACAATGGATACAGACACTGTCCCATGAATGGGTTATATTTACTCTGATTTTTAAATATGATCTTTAATGAATTTGTAGAACACTTCAAAGCAGTGTAGGTCTTCATAAACATGATAACTGCAGAAAAAATGTACTTCTAGCCTTCTGGACAATCCAATAGCCAAGGAAGTATGGGTCTTTGTTTCAGAATGATCCCATAAGCTGATGGGAGAAGAGGATCCAGTACACTAGCTCTAACATAGGAGGAGCCATAAATAAGAAAATAAAGCATGATTCCATCCAAAGGCATTAAATACTCTTTTATGCAGAGAATTTAATCATACTGAGTATTTATACTGCTAATATGTAATGCATTGTATCATGACAGTGATTTCCCTTTCCTGGTCACTTTTTATAGAAAACACTGCAAACAGCTATGTAGAAAATTTATTTTTTTATCTGAACTAGATAAGAAAAACTAAAACAAACTAAGTCAAAATACATTTAGCTTATCCCTAGCTATCTATTTGATGAGACATATAATGAAAAAATTAAAAATCTATCAATTTGACATCAGTATTTTATTATGGGCAGAAGGAGATCTCTCGCTTTTGCTGA